GAGAGCAACCCCAAGCTTTGTGAGGGTTTCAGCAAGGTGCTAAAGCAGTGTAGATTTGCAAATGGATTAATGTAATCAAGAAGTTCAAACGGAAGAAATGGAAAATGGGCTCTCACGACCAAGTTAATTTAGCATAAGACTATAACTGATAGTGAGAGTATTAAGTGTACAAGCACCAGTTAAACCTCTCCTCCCTCATTAATAGCTTCGTTGCTTCAGAATCACCATGGAAGAGGATGTTCTTATTGTATTGAGATGATGTCAAGTTTGGGGCTGGACAAATGTTGGTGTGGCCTCCTTAAACTAGCTGTTGTTATTATTTGTGAATTAATTAGAATAAAGTGATAGTCTTCCAAGAAAAAAAAATAGCAAATTATTTTTCTGGCTACTCACATTCTCTGCCTCTGTTACAAGTCAATTGCTCCTCTAGTAACTCTCCAAGAACATCAGAGAGCGACGATGGTGATTGATTGTGATTACAAAGGAGAAATTGGGTTCAGAATGCATGATGGAGGTAAAGAATATATCTGGAATACCCGTGATTCCTTAGGGCGTCTCTTGGTACTACCATGCCCTGGAATACCTGTGATCCCTTAGGGCATCTCTTAGTACTACCATGCCCTGTGAAGTAAGTCAATGGAAAATTACAGCAACCCAATTCTGATATGACTACTAATGACCCAGACCCTTCAGGAATGAAGGTTTGGTTACCCCACCAGGCAAAGAACCATGGCCAGCTGAGGTGCTTGCTGAGGGCAAAGGGAATACAGAATGGATGGTAGAAGAAGGTAGTTCTAAATACCAGTTACGACCACGTGACCAGTTGCAGAACGAGGGCTGTAATTATTTTTAGTATGTCTTCCTTGTTTTGTAATATATGTGCAAATATCTGTTTTCTTCCCTTATTCCATTACTTATTATAAAATACAAGATGTAAATGGGGCTAGTGTGTTTTTGGTTGTACACATTAGTTGTGTCATGTTAGGCACCACAGTGTATGGCTTTATAATTGTCTTCATTTAGAAACTATGTAGGTTTGAGGAGATGAGTACAGGTGCCACACTGACAAAGGGTAGACTGTGATGGTTAAGGTTGTTTCAGTTTGGCTGGGCCATGATTCTCAATGGTTTGGCAGTTATGTAATGATGTAGTCATCTTCCATTTTGTGAGCTGATATAGTCACCCCCTCTCCCCCATTTTATGATCCAATGTGAATAGCCAATCAGTTGAAAAGGGAGTTTCCTTGGGGATGTGGCCTACATCCAATATATACAGATGCGCTGGCAAAGCTTGCTCTGGATGCTGCATCCAGCTCATCATAATCTGACCTCCGGTTCTTGGGACTTGAGCCAGCAGCCTGCTGACTTTCCTGCCGATTCTGGGATTCGCCAGCTTCCACAGCCCTGTGAGCCAGCAGTCTGTCGTCTGACCTGCCGACTTGGGTTCGTCAGCCCCTGCAACCACATGAGTCAGAAGTCTCCAGCCTGATGCCTGACCCACAGATTTGGGACTTGCCAGCCTCCACAACCATGTGAGCCATTTGCTTGAGCTAAATCTCCTTATACACACACACACGTGCTTCACTGGTTTTGCTTCTCTAGAGAACCCACCTAAGACACAAGTTATTGTGAAAGAACAAGTGAGGGCTATGAGGCTTTCTGTACCTTTTCAGGCAACGTGAGCAGACCAGTAGGTCTATATTTTTTGACTATTTCTCAAAATGGGCTCCTCAGATCACCTGCGTCAGCCAGCCCCGAGGCTCCATCCCCAGATCTACTGAATGGAAGCCTTTGGGAGAGGGGCCAAGGAATCCTTACTTTTAGTAGGCTTCTCAGGTTATACTTAAGCACAATATAGTTTGAGAACCACTACCCATCTCCTTTCCTTTTACCAGTGAATTGGCTGTTGATATGAAAGCAGATAGGTGAACAGGCTCTCAAGTTTTCTCAATTAGTTCTATAGCAATTAAATATTACTCCTGTGGAAAAATTCTCATTGCCCACTCGTAATTATGAAAATACATCCTATTTTGAAGCTAGCATTTTAAAAGGCAATTTCTCTTTCAAGGACTAAGCATCAGAAGCTCTCTTTATAAATTATATACATACAAATTGACAAGGCAGCATTGCTGACAGTAAGGCCATTACCGGAAAATGGATATAGCCAGTGTTTGTTGAAAGGATCATTAAATAAATGGCTAAAATACTGGAAACTTAAGATATGTAAACATCTACACTGTTTGAAAACTTTTGTACATCAAAGGATTTTTAAGTGCTTTTGTTTGGCTACAGTTTGCATTTGCTAACAGTGTAGCAGCAACAGCACTGGCCTAGGAGACAAGGGATGCGTCACTCATTTGTAAAACCAGACAGCTGGGCAAGATGAGACATTCTTAAGCTGGAGCACATGAATCATGGATGGCGTCAGGGTCTTTGGTTCCTGTGAAATCATCAACGAAATCTTGCTATCCATTTTTCTGGGGATAGAGTCAATAGCTTTTCTTACATTCTCAAAAGTTGCAGAACCCCAAAATGGTTAAAAATTACAGACTGGATTATTGCAGAAGTTTCTTCCAGCTCTAAGATTTAAGAAAACCAATGTCCCAGCTTTTTTGGGGGTCTAACCTGGATGGGTCACTGACTTCATTTGGGTTTTTAAAGCTATGCTCCATCTATACCACCTGCTCCTTCCCCAACAAAATATGCCTTGTTGTGCAACATTCTTCATTTTGTATAAATAAGACTATTTTTTCTCCAGACAGTAGGATTTAATTTGTTTTAATGTAGTCTGCTATAAAAATGAATGAAGACTTCTGCATGGTACATTTGGCTTTACAGATGTTAATGACTACTTAATGCTTGTGTTATATGTTGGACATCATAATCTGTTGACCAGGAACATAGCTTTTGCAACATAGGTTAATACCAAAATGTGAATCATGAAACTTTTACTTAGCACACACAATCTACAGCAAACTTAAATACTAATCTATATTATCTAACTGGATTAGTTGGATCCATTTCAATATTGTGCTTATTTATCTCAGAAGATAGGCAACTAGCAAAAATACACATTTCTTTTGCATTTCCCCACCCCCATATTACACTGTAAAAGAAATACATTATTCAGTGCACTTCCTAAGAAATAAACTTCCTTATAGTATCTCTTTCTATATATATATTTATGCCAAAACAAAGGAAGAGCACAATGCAACTTTTAAGATTACCATTTAAAGCAAGAGAGGTAATAACACACTGGGACTGTAGCCCCCCCTCCTGTGTAGCAAGTTCAGCTATTTTATCATGAACACTGTTCCTTTTGGCTATGCATGGGAATAAAGGTCAATACATGATTGCTTTGGACGGTTTAAGATACCCCCTTCATCATTTTGGTAGACACCGTGGTGCATTAGTAGCATTTTTATTTTTGATGTTTTGGTCTTAATCAAACCATAAGCTGAATTTAGACACCAGTATACTCCATTGTGAATTATTCATCAGTTTCCATCCCATGACTTTCCTTCATCAACTCTTACTGGATCAAGAGAGAAAAGATTTAACTTATAGAAAGAGGTAAGGGGCTAGGAGAATGTATGTGAGGACAACAGAGCCTCTCTCTCCCTGTGGACACAAAAACGTACAACCACCATGTCTGAGCTGGGTTGTGGACAGTCCTGTTTGGAAGAGGGGGGCAGTCCTTATATTCTATGGACTGTCAGCTGTACTAGTCTACACAGTTGGAAAATCTGGAGGATTCTGTCCACATAACCTCCCTTTGATGGAAATGACAGAAGTTTCTAGAAATGAAAGAGGCTGCAACTTGGCAGTCTGTGACCTAAATCCAGCTTCAGAAGTGTTTGTTTAACCAGCAGTTTAAAGATTTTTGAATCAGTTCTTGATATTCAAAAATAAGAATATTTCTCATGAAAACTTGGATTTCATAAAAATTTGAAGAGCTGGTAACCCTGGTCTTACAGTCTTCTTGTAAAGCAACAAGTAGCTGCAGCTGAACAATGACTGTCTCTTTTAAATGGGGCGTAAGCACGGCAGCTTGCTATAGCTCCCATTTCTTCCAGCCATCTTACACCATTTAAGTGACCTGTTTCACTCATTTTTAAGACCTGTCGAGTTGAATTTGTGACCCTGGGGTTAGTTTAGCTCTGCCCTTTAGTGATAATGAAGACCTGGTTTTCATTTGGGATTTCACAACCAACCTGTACACAAGATTCCTCCCTTGACTAGGTCCCAGCCATATCTGGTCACTTTGGTAGGTAATCTTAATGTGCATTTCTACTTGTCCTTCAGGCTATACTTAAAACTCCAAAGATAGAATCACACTAATATTACGTGTTTAAGTGTGTCTATGTTAAACATGTAAAGGAGTGTGTATCTATACAGATATATGTATACTTTAATCTAGACAAAAATTAGTTTGGTTCCACAGATACAGACACCAAGTGCTGGCAGTCTGGAGAATAAGTGTAACAATTTGGTAAAACCTGTATAATTCTGACTTATAATATTACAAAGTGAGTGAATTTTAAGTTATTGCTTTTTGATTACAGAATAAAGAACTCACTCTGTTGCAAAACCTTTATACAGAATGAGTAATCATTTCCTATTCAGGTAACAGTAATCAGAATCAGAAGTTCCTTACACAACGGTAGACGCTTGAAGACATTTTTTGAATGGAGATGTGATTTCATTCTATTCAAGAATTTATGCAGGAAACTAGGAGTTACTTAATTTTTCAAAAGTACAAGAAAATCAGCACCCCAAATTGCTTAATGCTCAGGAGGGTTTCTCAAGGGCTCTATAAAGCTCAGCTTTGTGGTGAGTTCACACCCACCTGTAGAAGGATTCCCGTTCTACTTATGCAGCCTTGTTTTAGAACACAAAGCTCGTATTAAAAACAGTCAAAGAGGATGAAAAGCAGTGTTGGTTTTTAACATTCAGAATTCACAGAGGATTTCATTTTCTGCAATTAAATGATCTGTTTCGTGTTTTTGCTGCAGAATCGCATTTATATAGCAGTCTTATTTCAGGCACTTTTTAAACATGTTCATCTGGAATAAAAATCTGCATGAACCACTTCTGCATACTAATTCAAAATGAGCGTCAAGTGATTCTAGTCCCAAAATAGACAGCAAATCACCACCTGGTAATCAATTAGCTTTCTCCATCACAACATGACAGTGACTGCTGAGCTTGAGACGTCTTTGAGGTGCCCTTCTAGCTTCAGTACAAAGATTAGAGCCATAAAAATCCAAATGAATCAATTTCTATTTAAAAAAATACAAAAAGGTGAAATACACTAAATGTATTGTACAGACGGTTGCAGCTACTATCAAAATAAATAACATGATCTGACTCAACGGTTTGACTCTGAGCTCTTAGATGAAATCAGATGGAATGTCACCTGTGGAGACTCCCTCCTAGGAACTAGCTGCTGGTAGGCAAAAGTATCTCAACGTCCTTGCCATTGGCTATAACAGCATTGGAAGAGCAGCTGCTGGCAAGGTCCTCTGTGGTGGCCACAGAGGATGCCTGGGAATGTGTTTTGGTCAGTGGCGTGGTCGTGGATGGAGATGGGGTGAGGCCAGGTTTTTTGGGTGGGATGGGTGGAGGATTCCCTCTCTCAGCTCTGGGGATGGTAGGAGACTTGATCCCTGGAGACAGGGGGCTCAGAGGACTGGATACTTTCCCTGGAGTAGGTGAATGGCTGGTGTCACCTCTTGGGCTGGCAGTGTTGGCCAGATTTCGATAGTCTGTGCCAAAGGGGGAGCTATTGGGAGAGACAGGCTTGATTGGCCCTTGTTGGCTAGTGAATCTGGAGAGCACCTGAGTGACTGTGTTTCGGGCCAGCTGCTTGGCGGCAGAGTTGTCTGTGAGGGTGGGGGACAGATCCCTGGACGGAGGGCTCTGTAGGCCACTTGCTTGTTGGTCCTGATCTGCCTGTGACTGAAATTTGTGTCGAGCTGCATGGAACCGCTGGTTGATTCCTACTTGATAGGATGACTGGTAGCCAGGGCTGCTGGCTGATGCCCCTAATAAGCGCTTAGTTAGTACTGGTGAAGAGCAAGGAGAGGATGTTAGAGAGGAGGAGGCAGTGCTGCTGGGAGACAGTGAGCTCCCACTGGAAGGGAGGTGACTGGGCATTGGGATCGGAGACTCGATTCCCACAGGACATCCACCATTCTCCACTGGTTTTTCTTGGGTGAATCCCACAGATTTCTCTCGTGGCAGCACCTGGTTTTCTGCACTGCTGCCTAACAACTCCCTGGTTGGTTGTATCTCTGGGTCACAATGGCCATTGGTTTTTGCATACGTGTAAGTCGGAGTGGTGGAGCCAGGCAGTCCAGTGTTTGTCACCTTGCCTACGTTGCTCCCGTGGGTTCTTTCTGCCTGAAAACTCTCCGTCTGGCAAAATACAGATACTAGCACGGGAGGCTCAGTTGCTGTGCCTTTGGACATGGTTACCGGTTGCTTCAATTGCTCATTAGGGCTACTGTGCTGGCAGGAAGCTTCTAGGTCCTTCACTATCTTCTTCAAACTTTCCATCTCTTCTTTCAGAGTTTTGGTCCGGTTCTCTTCTCGGTTCAGTTTTGCTCTCAGTTGTTCCCTTTCGATGTCAAACTCAGACAACTGCTTCTCCACTTGGGCCTCGGTTTGCAAGCCTCGCTTCTTCTCGGCTGCCAGCTCTTCCTCCAGTTTACTCACCCGGCTCTTTTCCTTCTCCAGTTTCAGGCTCAGCTCTCCTGCCTTCTGCCCCTCCTCAGCTGCCTTGCTGGTGGCTTTCTTGCACTCGAGTGCCAGCATGGAGGACAGCTGCTTGTGGCGGGAGCGCTCCTCTTCCAGCTGGCTGGAAAGCTTCTTCTGCTCTTTTTCAAATTTTTTCACTTGTGACTTTTCAAATTCCAACTAGAAAAAGATACCAACATACATCTTGTTTAGAGAAAGAAAACAAAGAGAGGTACTGAAACAACTATTATCAAGTAGACTGTCCTGGCTAGCTGTTCTCTGGTACACAGAACTACCATATATGCCATGGGGCTTAGATCAACTATTTCTGAAGTATCACAACACACCTAACACAAAAAGTATACAACATGAACTAGGTGTTTCTAGTTCTTATGCTGCCTCAGGGTTTTTAGTGGGAATATGATGCATCATTGTGTTTTAGATAGGTAGAGAATTTAGAGCATTAGAACCAATCAAAACTGAAAACAGAAGGCTATATAAACCAGATTTTATGGTGCATGCTGCTGAAAACAAATTTTTTTTTTTTTAAATTCTACTCTTTATTTATTCCTAAATGAATGACATTTAAAAAAAAAGAAAAAACAAAAAACTAAAGTAGTTGCATGTTGAGTCGACCCTGACTCCTGGTGACCCCATGTGTGTCAGAGTAGAACTGTGCTCCACAGGGTTTTCTTCTCTTTTTTTTATTGTTGTGCTTTAAGTGAAGTTTACAATTCAAGTTAGTCTCTCATACAAAAATTTATACACACATTGTTATGTGACCCTAGTTGCTTTCCCTATACTGTGACAGCACACTCCTCCTTTCCCCCCTGGATTTCCCGTGTCCATTCAGCCAGCTCCTGACCCTCTCTGCCTTCTCATCTCACCTCTGGACAGGAGCTGCTCATTTATTCTCATATATCTACTTAAGCTAACAAGCACACTCCTCACGAGTATCATTTTATGTCCCACAGTCCAGTCTAATCTGTCTGAAGAGTTGGCCTTGGGAATGGTTTTAGTTTTGGGCTAACAGAACGTCTGGGGGCCATGTCTTCCGGGGTCTCTCCAGTCTCAATCAAACCATTAAGTCTGGTCTTTTCACTAGAATTTGAGTTCCGCACCCCACCTTTCTCCTGCTCCATCAGGGACTCTCTGTTGTGTTCCCTGTCAGGGCGGCCATTGGTGGTAGCTGGGCACCATCTAATTCTTCTGGTCTCAGGCTGATGAAGTCTCTGGTTTATGTGGCCCTTTCTGTCTCTTGGGCTAAACTTTCCTTTTGTCTTTGGTGTGCTTCCTTCTTTGCTCCAGGGGGCTTGGGACCAACTAATGCATCTTAGATGGCCACTCGCTAGCTTTTAAGACCCCAGACGCCACTGACCAAAGTGGGATGCAGAACACTCAAAACAAAACTTTTGAAGTTTTAGCAATAATTTTCTCTGGTCTTAAATGCAAAAAAATATAACTAGTTATACTCAAATCATACTTTTTAAACAAACGTAGTCTGTTTCATTGTCGTCCTAACCCTATTCAAGGCACAGTCAGAGACTCTGGGTGAGAGGAAAAGGGTTGAAGGAACTCTCTTAGAGAAACATCGGTGTGTATTAAAGGCAGTTAAGAGTTATACATCATTTCATGGAATTTTTGTTTCAGGTGTATGTGTGTATATACACACGGTCATGATGTAAAATGTATTTCTTACTGGGGGTCCTAAGTCAAAAATTTTGGAGAGCTTTAGCTCTAAGTTAGTGTTCCCCAAAGTGCATTCTATGGAACACTATTCCTTCATCCTGCATGCAAACAGGCTTGATTACTGGGATATTAAATGGAGATTTTTCACAAGGCCTTTTAATTAACTTCCTACCTGTATGTTATGAAAACAGATCTCTTAAACAGTATATCAGATCTTGTTCTTGAAGACACATGTGCTTTTGTGTATTACAGGTTCTAGTAAATTAAGTTAAAAACTTGTTTAATTCCAAACTTACTTGACTACAAAGCCCTCTTTTTTGAGTGACACAATATCCATCCTATGGAATAATCTTTTGAGAAATGTTATTTTAAGCAAATGCTGTCGTGAACCATTCCACCTTACTTACCTGTTGAGTCAGCCGCTCTCTCTCCTTCTCCAGCATGTAGGTAACATCGTCTCCTTCAGCTGTGTCTTGTGCATGCCTTTGCCTTTCTTCCTCAAGGTCTAGGATTACCTTTAAAAAATTTTTTAAAAAATCATTTCCAAATATCAAAGAATTACATTTTCTTATAATACAATCAAATACTGAGCATCTAACTAAATGCCTAAGATGGTGTCAGAGATTTATATTTATATATATATATATATATAAATACATATATAAATAATATACCACACAGCCAGGGCCGTCAAGGCACACATTGTCTAGAAGAGTGAAAGACATGAAAGCTATGTGCTAGAAAACAATAAGACACACGCTTTACTTGAGCTAAGCACAAATGGTATGTAAACACAGAGAAGAGGGCAACTAATTAGTTGTGAGTATTGGAAAAGGTTTCAGGGAATTAATAGAAAGTCTAGGAAACTACAAGCAGTCTGTTGTGACTAGGGGGCAGGTGTAGGTGATGGAGCAAGACAGGACCACAGAAAGATGAGAGCTGAAGTTCTCTCCTCAATGCCCAAATCACCAGAAGAATCAAAGAGGGAGCCTGAAATTAAATATTTCAATAGGTGATATCCTCACCATGCCTTGCTTAATTAATAATATGCATTTTATATATAGCTAGATAAAAGACGAAAAGACTCTCTTGCCTTCATCCTGCAGGCAGAAAGGCTTGATTACTGGGATATTAGATGGAGATTTTTCACAAGGCATTTTAATTAACCTCCTACCTGTATTCCACTTATCCTGATGCCAAGGGGTTAGGCTCCATTTTAAGAAGAATACAAATTTAAAGAGACATTTTCTACGTAATTCTGCCTGCAACTGCACACTGTTCCCAATGGTAATGGATGTCTTGTAGCTCCTGCTTGTGCTGCACAGGTGCACTGGCACAGACTCCTGGGGAGAGCACTGTCATCCCAATGGCCATTTCTCACCACTCCTCCTCATTAGCAATTCTTAGCACTGGAGAAAGAAAATTTTCTGGGACATGAAACCCCCCTTAAAAAAAAAACTAACAAAAAATTTGGGGGTACACTCAGTTTAAAAAAAATCTAATTTTTCCATTTAATAGAAAGACAGGCTTTTGGTTAAAGGTTAAAGGCTTTTTGGTTAAATGGGATAGGCTCAATATTTGGTAATACCAGATATGATGCAGAATGGGGGTGAGGAAAGGAGATTATATTTGTTTTGGGAAGATGGTGAGGAGTGGAAAGGATGGTAGGATGTAAGATAACTAAACTCTCATCTATCACAAAAGGAAGTAATAAAACTCATAAAAATGAGATACTTTTGTTCATAAAAATGAAATATTTTTGTTCATCAAAAGACTATCCAAAAAGTGAAAAGACAACCTACACACTTGGAGAAAATTTCTAGGAACCATATAGCTGATGAGGGTCTAACATCCAAAATAAATAAAATACTTCTACTACTTAACAACAAAAAGATAAACAACCTAATCAAAAAATGGGCAAAAAACTTGAACAGACATTTCACTAAAGAGGATATTCAAATGGTCAATAGGCACATGAAAAGATGCTCAATGTCATTAGCCATTAAAAACCAAAAAACCATTCAGGTGGCTAACAGACACATGCAGAAATGCTCACGAATATTAGCCATTAGAGAAATGCAGATCAAAACTACAATGAGATATCATCTCACCCCAACAAGGCTAGCATTAATCCAAAAACCACAAAATAATAAATGCTAGACAGGTTGTGGAGAGACTGGAACACTTACACACTGTTGGTGGGAATGTAAAATGGT